TCCATGGAGTGATGCCCTAGCCTTCTAATGTGATCTCCATCCATAGAGGCTATAAGGCATGGGTTGGTGCAGACAAGTGTAGGCTTTGCCTGCACACCCAGCATCTTTTCTCTCCTCTCTCCTTATTTATGATCAAGAATCCAAAAGTCCAAGAAGAGGTGTGTGAGAGATGTCCAGTGTGTTGAGAGTGTCAAGGGTAGGTAGGAGAATGTCTGGTGGGACCCCCAAGGCTGTAGAGCTTGAGATACAGAATCTGGCACTTTTCAATAAAACCTACTGGTAGGTCGATAGAAACCTATCGATAAGTTTCACTCCAGTGGGCTCAACCTATCGGTAGGTCTGGCGGTAGGTGTAGGTCTAGTAGCTAAAACCTACCAGTATGGCCTACAAGTATGTTTTCCCTTGTTTTGCTAATTTCTTGGTTTCTTTACCTCTTGAGCCATCGTCAAGCCATCCTTTCATCATCATTCATCTCAAACACTAGAAGAAGGCTTTAAGAAGCACCATTTATCATCTTTTGTCTGCAACCATACCGAAATTTCATTAATAGCACAAACAATGCATATCAACTCATATTAACCTTAACAACCAACACAAAAGGGATGCAAAAGCATTTTAAATATGCAATGTTTGTGCTAATCACTTATCGACTTGTTGGAACCAATGGTTGGCCACCATCGGATCCGTCCCTCCCATCAAAGTAGGTGGCTTCTATACCTTAAACTTTTCGAGGTTACTCGAGCCCACGTTGGTGCTAGCTTGTGCAAAGGTAGGCGGCATTGTGCCTATAGCCTCCATGAAGGCTTATTGGTCAAACGTCGGTGGTGTTTGATTGTCACATGTCCTCTTCCTCTATTTGCCATGTACACACATGTCAAATGGCAATAGAGTGCTAACTTAGTATCTCAAGGTAGGGATCAAAGTTGAAACATTGAGATTTCTCTCCTTGTCTCACTAGTAGAGCGTGTGTCACCCACTAGTAGACATCTATATCATGAACTGTCTCGTTCCTTCTTTTTGCAACCCCCAAGGTTATGTTCTCTAACCCTAATGTCTCCTTTCCATATACATTTAATCATGCATATTATTCACATAACACATAATATGTAGCATTTAGAGCACATAATATGTAATGCATAACGGATACAATGGTCTAAACTCATTCCCCGCAAGCCCTACGTAAATCGAGAACCTAGGCTCTAATACCAAGTTATGACGCCCCTAAAACCAAGGGTCCTTTTTCAACCCGTTGACCACCTATCAACCCACAAAAGTACCCGTGTATGCCGTATGACTTGACACCACGCCCCCTTCACCGAGATCATAACCCACACAGAGTTTGAGCAGAGTCTTTCTTGTGCCGAAGCACTCCCAACGCATAACTTGTATACATATTAATCACTTGACCGTTTTAAGGTCCCGTATCTATCAATTTGTCATCAATATTACTCCATTTACATCCATTGAGCAAAATGCCTCAATGCCCGAAGGCTTGACAAAGTTATTTTAAATTTTAAAAATTTTGGAGTAATTACTGGTAGCTCCAGTATGTGCTACCGGTAGCTGAGCCCTCTGCTAGCGAGCTATCGATAGATGAGCCCACTATCCGTGAGCTATTATTAGCTCGTGAAATGAGCTACCAGTAGCTACCCACAACAATTGTGCTACCGGTAACAGGGTCCAATTTTTTCCCGATTCAATTCTTTTTCAATTTCAACTCACCAAATCTCATACAACATTACTCAAACTCATAGCATCTAATTTTACACAAAATATAGTCTATATGAGTTCATTACACAATCTTTCACACATCATTACAAGTCCAAAACTAATTACACAATTGATTTACAAAAATACAACTTAAAGCCACATTCTGGCTTCTTCTCAACAGAGACCCATGTGAGAGCTGTTCATCGGTACTTGTCCCACACTTGAAATATTATTCTTATAAAGGGCGAGCCACGCTTAATAGGGTATCTTCTAGAGAGACTACCTCTCAACCCACATACATATGAAATGTTTGTGTGCAATTCAAAAATCAAATAAGCATTCATCCAAGAACATACAACTTCAAGAAATGAATGTCACAATGATATTTCATGTTATGAAGTGAGACTCACACATGTAATGCAACCCGAGCCCTCCACCGGCTCTCATAACACATGCAATGTCATGCGTGTAAATTTGGGCTTTTCAAGCTCTCGTCATTGATGCTACGCATCCTATAATAATTCATCAAATAAACTATGTGTCTTTCTTAGGTAAGTGACTTCCTAGACTTGCACCAACAGTCTAACACACTGACACGGATTTTGGTATTTCACCTCCGGTTTCGCGTACACCAATACACTTTTTTTAATTTTCACCGTCGGAAGTATATAAACCAGTAGCCGAGTCTTGCACCCGATGGAGAATCTAGCCCTTCTTACTATACCTGACGCAAGTTTTTCATGCAACCCAGGTGACTCAGTCGAACCTTAGTCTAAGTCTCCCGAGCCCACTTATCATCCATCAAGATTGGTATTTGATCAAAATCACGCACACACACACACACACTCATATCACATGCCCACAAATGTGATGCTTTTCGTGCATCTGCACTATAATGTACAGTTGTAATTTTCATGTCATGTTCAATACATCATGAGCACATTATAAACAATTTCAATTTCTCGATGTAACTTATATCATAAAGCATATAATTACATTCTAGTATCATCCCAAAGCATGTTATATCAATGTCATTCAAATAACATGTTAAATCATCATAGGGACTTTATCAAACACCCAAAAGGCACAATATCATATAAATACATAATCATGTCCAATTTATCACATTCTCATGAAATCACCTGACAAACATTTTCAATAATACCCAATTCATGCAAAATTGGTTTTATACATTCTTATACCATTTTTCATACTCTAGTTACACTATGAGTATATTTAAACAAGACGTTTCATATCTAATTATACTACCCATTCCATACGCAAACCCTAGATTAAAAATAAATGTAGTTAGGATAAGAACTTTACCTCTTGAAGCGTAACACGAGTGGTAGAAACTCCCAAGAATCCAAATAAAGCTTCAAAACCTTGATTTCAAAAAATTTTGTCTTTGAGAATTTGGCAAAATCTGTGATTCTTAGTACTTAGACGTAACTCTCGTTGCATAGAACAACTTTAGTTTTTGGCCCGAGGCGATTTGGCAAAATCTGTGATTCTTAGTACTTAGATGTAACTCTCGTTGCATATATTTATATTAATTTTATTCTTCGAACTTCTACTAATCATGAGTGACACTTAGCAACATATCATAATCAAACTCCGGATAGCACAAAGTAGGTAAAATACTCATTCAGTTTTACAGTTGCTATGCAACTCAATCATTCTATCACATAATGCCCTAATTGAGTCACTAGGGCATGGAATTACTGTCAAACCCCTAACCCAATTTTATGTGTTCTATCTTAGAATTATGTCTCCTAATGATCAATCAGAAACTCTTTTCTAATTATCATTCTGCCTTTGACAAAGACTTGAGTCATATTTTAGAAGATCACATAGAACATTCTCCCTTTATTTACTAAGGGTGATAGATTCTATGTTTTACATTCATAAGTCTCTATGCATGTTTAATTATGTCAAACATTACAGATCAAAACTACATAATTAACATATGAATATGCTGTATAGTTAAAGCATAGAAGTCCATACATAAGACAATCATAGTGTCTCAAAATTAAGGATCAGTTGCATAACTATAATTTTAGGATTTAACATTGATAAATATACAAAACTCTATATGTAGAATCCTATATTAGTCAATGATCACGTTTAATGTACTTGTTCTTTAACAAGTACCCACACATCTGCTTTAGTGTCCCTATACTAGTAACTTGGATGAGCCACCTCATATCAAATATGAGTAAACATAGTTTATGCTACTTTATCCAGATTACTTAGTGCCCGCATAGTAATCTTATGACTATAAACATTTAAAAGTTAAGTATTAAGAAGTATATGTCTCATCTTCTCAACTACTTGAAAAACCATCTTCTTAATTTATACTCTATGAACGATATCATGCATATTAAAATAAAATAAAGCAAAAATATAATAAATAAACTTGCCATTTTATTTAATTAAATAATGAATATTGCTAGTACAACTTCAAAATATCATCTATTTGATTGGTCTTAAAACATACTACTAACATATTCTATTTCCAAACTCATCCTATTCCTGTTGAAAAACATTACCACGTACTAAATGTAGCGTTAATCTTTTAGTTTGGAAGAAATCACCAATAGAAACATTAAGTTATATCAAAATGCTAGATTTTTTTTTTAAATGCATGCATTTAATATTGACAATACCCGTAATAATTGTTTTGATTGATTTTTTTTTAAATTAACACTTATAAAATCTTACTTACAATTAACTATGTCACAAGAAAGATTACATGATCTAGCCCTATTATTCATTGAAAACGATATATTAGTGAAACTTGAATGTACAAATTTAATCACTAAAAAATAAGAAGAATGATTTTTAAGTAAAATATTAATTATATAATTTATTTATAATAAATTTTAGAAGGATCCCATTTAAAGTTTTTGCATATGGCTCCATTTACATCAAATCGGCCCTAGGAGCATCCGAACGTCGATAACTTTTTATTCTAGACTTCTGACTAAATTTTGACGTTCTTAAAGGGCGATTCAAGTTTTGTCGAGTTAGATTGAAGCCAAATATATCACTGATTCATCCACTCGCATGAATTCCACCACCACCACCACTAACTTCACTTTCCAGCATGTGCTCTCCTTAACGGATCTTTGCCCAGACCACTGTGGGACCATGACACGTGCTGGTCCTACTCCTATAGAAAATATTCTCCGCGTACCTCTTCCTTGAACCCTTCATAAACCAACACAGCTCTTTCTCTGTCTCAGTCTGTCTCCCTCTATCTCTTCTCTCTCACTATCAGATCAAAGATGGCCTTTGGACGATTACAGACGATTCGAAATCTCTATCGAAAAGTTGAAATTCGAGACTTCTCCTACTTGTAAGGATGGTTGACATTTGCTCAGCGATCAAACAGAGAGCTTTAATGTCTAATTTTGGCAATTTTTGTTTTTGAAAGCTGTTAGTGTTTGGATTTTCAGGCTTGGAAGCTCAAGAAGCTATTCACATGTTAGTGTAAATGGTAAATAATTTTCTTGTTTTTATTGGGCGTCCTCTGGTACAATATATTTCATTTTCTTAATTGAATTGAAAATGTACTTGGAATGGATATGTTTAGCATGCAATATTTTGGCCAATGACTTGGCCAATTTAATCCTGTCGTTTACAGCGGAGTACGATTAACTTGATTTTTCTTGACGTTGCTTTCAAAATTCGAAGGGTTGTATTGGGAAATTTTTGGAGTTCGGGCGTGAAGACGAAATGAGTTGTCGTTTATTTTGGTTAATTCTTATGATTCTAAAATGATTAGTTCTGCTTAAAAATATAACATAAACAAGATAATTCATGAGTATTTCACTGGAATTGTTTGCTGTTTTTTTGTAAGTTGAAGAACCCATTATTGGAACTTTTAATTTTACAAGGGCTAATTTCACTTTGCATCCTGAAAGATGCATTAATTCTCAATTTGCACTCTTAAAGAATTGGATTCTCAAATTTCACTACATTGCACCTGTTTTAGAACATTGAGGGTGCAATATGAGAATCCAATTCTTTAAGGGTGCAAATTGAGAATTAGAGCATCTTTTAAGGTGCAAAATGAGATTAACCTAGTGTACAATTATGCCATATTGTAGAAAGATTTAGAAATATTTCGTAGGTATGTAGTATGGCACTTGGAGCAGTTGTTTAATCGTTTTGATAATTTCCTGTGTGATCAGATCTTAAATGCTGGACGATTTCTTCTTGCTTAGATAGTAGTATAAAGTTGCTTCAAGCTGGAACTCCCCTCCCCCCTCTTTTCATATCTCCAGCAGTTTGGTTTATGCAAGTATTTAATGCATGGAAAGTGAGTTTTTCATCACTCATAGAATTTTTTACTTGGTCAGTTCCCAAAACTAGTTGCTGGAGCATTTCATCTCACTTATACAAGGGCCCCAATGCTCTTCTTTGGATTTCTAGGGATACAATGACTCTTCATTCTACTATGGTAAGAAGGTTAAAAACCGCACTGACATAAGTCAGATGGATCCAGTTTTTTGCATTAAATATGTTTCACTAATTTACATTGTAGCATTATAATGCTATGTTTATGTCCGTTTCAGTCCTCTCCCCCTTCTATCCTGTTTATGCTATTATTTATGTGCAATTTTTGTTTTGTTTTGTTCCTGTGGAAGTAAAGAAACATTGTCTTTGATTTGTTTGGATTTCAGATGACATACGGCTTCTTTCGGCTTTCTTTTTTGTTATAATCTTCAAGCTTAGTTGCTTTTCATGTAGGGTGCTGAGTTATTTGTTTCCTTGAGCAAAATGAGGTTGGTTTCAACACAAGCAAAAGCTCCTCCTCAAGCACGACATATGGTATGCAATATTTCCTTGAAAATGAACTTAATAACTTTATCCCCAAACAAGCCGACAAGGACTACTGGTTTGGTTGGTAATGTCTCTTATGTTTTGTAAGTCGAAAAACTTGTCTGTACACAGTCCCACATAGTTTAGTGGGTGATAAAGTTGCATGAGTAGTACTAGAAAGTATTATATGAGGACACGTGAGCTACATGGAATTATACATAGGCTGAATGCAGCCACATAGGTAATAAAAATCGAGCTCCACGTAATCTGCGTAGATACTCTCATTTGTCTATAGAAGTACTCGTGTAATTTCTTCTAACAGCTATGCTAGTGGATGCAATATCTACATTCCTTTTCATACAAATATATCTGGTGAGCTGCATGGAATTATACATGGGCTGAATCCACTAAGATAATAAAAATCGAGCTCCACAAAATCTGCCAAGATACTTTCATTTGTCAATGGAAGCACTCATGATATATTTCTCCTAAATGCTATGCTAGTGGATGCAATATCTACATTCCTTTTCATAAAAGTATATCTGGTGAACTGTATGGGATGACTCAATCTTCCGGTTGATTTGGCTTAGAAGAGTGAAAAGTCTTTTGTAGATAGAAGCATGGAAATCTATGCAATCTATGGGTACATTAAACCATAGACATGTATATCCAGAAATTTGGATGACAGAAAGAGGCTATACAATAGGGTAGACCATAGATACCGGGATTGTAGATACCACTAGAATTCCATGTCGGGGTCGTACGACCTGAAATGGGTTGGGATGATAGGTCCCAGTTAGAACTGTTAAAGTATTTCTCAAGTGAGAACAAACACAGAAATTTGGATAAAACAATTACTTGTCCTCTTTATTTACTGAAGCAATCTTTAAATAAGCCGTAGCTTAACAAATTACCGAAAAGCAAGGAAACAGAAGCAAACTAAGCTAGAGTCCAACATAACACTTATTCTAAATAATAGGAAAGCTCCTAAAGACTTGGTCTCCTGCATGCCACGTCTCCCATAGGCTGGTTTGCATGCAACCACTCTGCCATCGTTCAACCTTCACCACAATACTTGGGATTCTGCCTGCCACGTCTGGTGGACATTCGTAGTGGCCTATCAATTCCTTCCCCATCGAGCGGATCCTTGTCCTCAAGGTCCACAGTAGAAAACTGCTGCTGTAGTAGCGTAGCATTTTCCTAGGTGGCCTCTTCCGCAGGTAAGCGACGCCACTTAACCAGATGCTCCATAATAAACTTCTTGCCCTGCTTGATCCAGCGTGTATCAAGGATTTTCTCTGGCTCTAGCAACACAACTCCGTCGTCTGCGACCGGTGGTAATTCTAGACTCACCTCCTTGTTATCCCCAACATATTTTTTAAGAAGCGAAACATGGAACACAGGATGTATGTGTGCACCCTCAGGCAACTGTAGCTTGTATGCGACTTGGCCAATTCGTTGCAGAATCGGATACGGCCCAAAGAATCGACTGGCCAACTTATGATGAGCACGTTTAAAGGCTGTATGCTGCCGATATGGTTGTAATTTCAAGAACACCATGTCACCTACTTGAAATTCCATGTCTCGTCGTTTTCGATCAGCCCCCTGCTTCATGCGATTGATGGCCACCACCAAATTGGACTTAAGCTGTTCAAGGAGTTCGTCCCTGCGAATTAAACTTTGGTCCACGTCATTCACAGTTGAGTGTCCAGCTTGGTAGTAGAGAATGGTTGGTGGAAGGCGACCATAAAGAGCACGAAAAGGCGTCATCCCAGTGGAAATGTGATAAGTGGTATTGTACCACAACTCAGCCCATGGTAGGTACTCTGTCCATTTCTTTGGCCATTGATGAACGAAGCTTCGGAGGTACTGTTCAAGGCAGCGGTTCACCACTTCAGACTGCCCATCAGTTTGTGGGTGATATGCTGAGCTAAGCTTGAGTTTGGTGCCTGACATAGTAAAGAATTCCTGCCAGAACTTACGGATGAATATGGAATCACAGTCACTGACTATTGACTGGGGCATGCCATGAAGCTTGACTATACCTTCCACAAATTTTTCTACTACCACCCTAGCAGTGAAGGGATGAGTTAAAGACATAAAATGGGCGTACTTACTAAGCCTGTCGACGACCACCAGAATGGTATCCTTGCCATGGGACATAGGCAGGCCTTCAATGAAATCAAGTGTGATGTCTTCTCATACTTGGCAGGGGATGGGCGACAGCTGGAGAAGACCTGCTGGTGCGAGCGCTTCAGATTTCGTCTTTTGGTAGATCTCACAAGTAGAGACATAGTCTTGGACATCTTTATACATGTTTGGCCAATAGAATTGCTGGGCTAGCCTCTTATAAGTGCGCAAGACTCCCGAGTGGCCTGCAAGCTTACTATCATGAAATTCTGCCAATAATTTCTGGCGAATCTCTTGAACTCGAGGCACCACTGCTCTGGTTTTATAAAAAATCAGGCCATCACGTAGCTTGTAGGACCCTCCTGGCTGGTCTTGGGCGGTGCGGCGGTGTGACTTAACTGGATAGTGTATGCATCACCACGTGTAGCTTCCTTTATTTCTTCCCATATGTGGACCTGCGGCACAAATAAATAATTGAGGATTGGGCTGGCTGGCTTGCGTGAGAGTGCATCTGCAACAGTATTTTCTCGATCAAGATGGTATTGAATTTCATAATCATAACCCAGCAGTTTCGCCACCCATCGTTGTTGATTAGGGTTGCTATTTGCTGTTCCAGGAGGTATTTTAGACTCTTCTGATCAGTCCGGATGATGAACTTCCTTCCAAGGAGGTAAGGTCACCATATGCGAATGGCTTCTACTATCGCCAACATTTCCTTGGCATAAATGGACCATGAACGCTTTGAGATTCCCAATGCTCGGCTCATGAAGGCAATTGGCTTCCCTTGTTGAGAAAGGATTGCACCGATCCCATCACCTGATGCGTCGGCCTCAATGGTGAATGAGTCGTTGAGGAAGGCGGCTTTCGCTTCATCATTCCATCCGAACTGGCCCTTCTTTTAGGAGGCTTGTGAGAGGGCGGGCGATGACGCCGTAATTTTTCACAAATTTCCTGTAGTACCCAGTGAGTCCTAAAAAACCACGTAATTCAGAGATGTTGGTAAGGACGAGCTTCTATTTCCATATCTACCTTGACCCCTTGTGTTGTAACAATATGCCCCAAATATTCAAGCTCGTGTTGGCCAAAAGCACACCTTTTTGCTTTGATAAAAAACTGATGGTGCCGTAGTACCTCTAAAGCTGTTTTCACATGTTGCAAGTGAATTTCCCGGATAGGGCTATAAATTAAAATGTCATCAAAGAAAACGAGGATATATTTTCTGAGATAGGGTCGAAAGATAGAATTCATGATGGCTTGGAAGGTGGAGGGGGCATTGCAAAGGCCGAAAGGCATGACCAAATATTCATAGTGGCCATTGTGTGTTCTAAAAGCAGTTTTAGGAATGTCTGGAGAATGAACCCTTATCTGGTGGTATCCTGCCCTGAGATCCACCTTGGTAAAATAGGTGGCACCATGCAATTCGTCCAACATATCTTCTATTGTCGGAATGGGGAAACGGTCTTTGATAGTCACCGCATTGAGTGCACGATAGTCAGTACAGAATCGCCAACTGCCATCTTTCTTCTTAGCCAGTAACACCGGGGATGAAAAAGGGCTAGTACTTGGCCGTATGATTCCTTGGTTGAGCATCTCTTGCACCTGCTTCTTGATTTCCTCTTTCTGGAAGTATGCATACCGGTATGGCCGTACGTTGATTGGTTCGGTTCCTTCTTTTAGAGGAATGTAATGATCTACTCCTCTTGCAGGTGGTAATTGGGTGGGTTCAGCAAAGACATCCATGTACTGTTCCAACAATTTGTGCATGGCTAGTTGCATGTCTTCTTGTGCTACGTCCACTAGTGAATGCACACAGATGGCAAATAGAGAATGACCTTGACGAAATTCCTTTGACAACTCCTCAAGGGAAGCTTTTTGGATTGAATGGTGGTCCAATCCTTGCAACTTCCGTGGTGTGTTCTCCCATTGAAATTCCATAGTGAGCTGCTTCCAATTGCATGTAACTGACCCTAGCATCTCCAACCATTGAAAACCCAGTACCAAATCGAGACCTGGGAAGAGCATATAGGGTGAGCAGAAAAGGAATACCCTGTAGGTTGACTGGTACCTGTTCAAATCTCCCTTGGCAACTCAACTTCTCCCCATTGGCGACTCGCACCTTGAAAGGGTCTGTAGGAACCACGGATAACCGCAAAAGACGAGCAACACGGTCACTAATGAAGTTATGAGTCGAGCCACTATCGATAAGGGCTACTACCTCCAGTAATCCGATCTTGGCTGCCACCCTTATTGTCTTTGGTGAGGACCATCCTGTCAGTGCATGCAGCGAAATTTTGGGCTCCGGCTCCGTTTCAAGCTCACTCTCCACGTGCTGTTCATCTGTCACTTCTTCGCATTTGAATTAGCTAGTTTCGGCAGGTGCTTCCAATAACAGTAATTGCTGGCCTCGACATTTATGACCTGCAGTGAATTTGTCCTCACAATTAAAGCACAACCCCATGGCTCATCTTTTCTGCATCTCTTCCCACGATAAGTGTTTGACTGGGGAAGTTGGCTTGAGGCTGGCTGGAACCAAAAGATTTGGTTGCGAACGGTTGATTTGTGGTGGTCGTGTGAGTCTCCGTTGTCGACCCAGCTGTTCATCCCTCATTCTTGCAAGGCTGATAGCTTCTTTCAGTGTCCGTGGTTTGAACATCCGAATACCTTCGGCAACCTCGGGTTTTAAGCCACCCATAAAGGTCCCTACCAACGCTTTTTGAGTCCACCCCTGAACTCGATTGCCCAACTTCTCAAATTCTTGTTGATACTCTCGTAGAGATCCTACTTGCCGTATGTGTGAGAGGGTCTCATCAAAATCTTTGATGTCCGTAGGTCCAAATCGAGCCCACAGTTCCTCCTCAAAAACTACCCTTGTCACCTCTCTTCTTTCTTCACGAAATGTACGGTTCAACCATCTCCACCATTGGTTGGCTTCACCTTCAAGGTGAAAGGATGCCAAAGAGACCTTTTGTGCCTCTGCCGTGGCTTGGAACTCAAAGAATTGGTCCACTCGAGCAATCCACTCTGTTGGGTCGCCACCTGAAAATCTTGGAAACTCGAGTTTGGCAGTTTTAGAAGACACAACCAAATGGTGTCCGTCATTGTCATCTCTGTGGGAGCGTGAATATGCTTCTTGCTCATGAGTGCTGTGGTTGGTGCTTTCTTTGTTGGACAAAAGCACTTCAGACATACCGGGTGAGTGTGGCCTCTAGTTGATTGAATTTGTCCGCCATTCCCAGCTCCATTCGATGCACGCCGTCCTGCAGTCCACCGAGCCCAGCTTCTAGAATTTCAATCCGTTCGTTGTTGGTGGACATGATAATAACACAGCTCTGATACCAATGATAGGTCCTAGTCAGAACTGTTAAAGTATTTCTCAAGTGAGAACAAACACAGAAATTTGGATAAAACAATTACTTGCTCTCTTTATTTACTGAAGCAATCTTTAAATAAGCCGTAGCTTAACAAACTCCCGAAAAGCAAGGAAACAGAAGCAAACTAAGCTAGAGTCGAACATAACACTTATCCGAAATAATAGGAAAGCTCCTAAAGACTTGGTCTCCTGCATGCCACGTCTCCCACAGGCTGGTTTGCATGCAACCACTCTGCCACCATTCAACCTTCACCACAATACTTGGGATTCTGCCTGCCACGTCTGGTTGACCTTCGTAGTGGCCTATTAGTTCGCAGTCTAGATCTCTCAAAGTTTTGACCCAAAATTATAATTCAAACCTTAGTAATCGCACATTATAACTCCAATCCCAAATTGTAGCTGTAACTTATTATTTCTTTGTTTTGGTATTCTTTAAAATCATTTTTTGATAACACTTATTAAAAATATGAGGGTGCTATTCAATATAAAAGTTAATTTTCCTTTCTTTTCCTAGAAGTGGTGGTAGCTATTGTTGGACTCTTTCATGTAGTGCTATGCCAAGCGCATTTAGGCGTAAGGCGAGCACAGGTTATCTCAATTGTCCAAGGCGAAGCGAGCTTTTTCGAAGTAACAATTCAGCGCCAAAGGTTTTCTGAAGCAATGATTAAGTGCCAAAGGCGAGTGCTTCATGCTTAATCGAAAAGCAATGAGGGAAACACTTTTGTAGTTTTTTGCTTTTCTTTATTGATATGAATCCGATAACAATGAAGATGATTTACGTAGTGATGAGGATGATATCTAAGTCCTCAAGATTTGTGAAAACATTGACTAAATGTTTAATTACTTCACTTTTGTGCATTATGTTTTCAAATGTTTGGATTTGAGATATTATTTGTGTTTTTTTGATTTAAATGTTTATGCTTTTGGTTGCCATTAAGGTTCGAGATATTATTGGTGTTTGTTTCAAATGAACTGTTTATTCTTTTGGGTGCCATGAAGATTTAAGATATTAGTGGTGTTTGTTTCAATTTGGCCAAGACAGAAGAAGGAAGAATCAGCACTATAGTGTGCTATGAACCAGAACATGGATTGCTGAGGCTCAGATTTGGCCAAAACTCAACCCAAATCCACTCAAACTACTTCGAATCAACTAATGGAACACCTATAGGTTGAAATCGCACCCCTTAGGCAGGATTTCGAGCCTCAAATTCAGAGACATCTCAAAATTTCTAGTGCGAAAAATTTCGACAAAAATTCTTGAAAATATGCAAAAAATCAAAAGTCTTACTAGACAGCCACGAAATCAAAAATGAAGTATACCAGGGAGAAATCCATGAAAATTTTGTGGGATGGTGGTTTCGTTGGCTCTAGATGATGACATCATCATGCACGATGATGACGTCTGTCCTGGTCTATTTTCAAAAAATAATCTACTGAGTTCTGTGATTTCTTATCTGTGTTTTGGGATCGCAACTTGCTCTGTTACCATGTAAAGTTTCATCAAAGAAAGAAGAAAGAGTGAAGAGAAAAAGAGAGAAATTACATTACAACATAATCAGTCAACTGAGATACATAACAAAGGCCCTTATATAGTAGCTGTAGGACAACATAAAATAAAGTAAACAACTAAACTACCCCTAATACTTAAGTATATTAGTCTATTCTAACATATATGACAAAGATAACATGTCAACAAGTTCTTGTGTATTTTCTTACATGTGACTATTAAAGGTTGATTGGCATTTGACTCTCTTATACCATCATGGAAGTACCCCTTACGAAATCCTTCCTAGATTGCCATTGACATTCTCTATTTTGATTGCTAATACTATTTATATTTTTTTGTATTACTTAAAATTAGCTGAAAAATGGAAGAGATATATATGATACTCCTATTGAAGAATGACATAAATGATTATAATCATGCATGTTTACTGTAGTTTGTGCATAAGAAATGAGTAATTATTGATTATTGTGGTTCTGCGATCCAACATTTCATGTTAATGTATTAGATATAGGAGATGCACTACGTAATTTGATTTGGAAGGCACAATTATCTGTGGCGTGTCGTAGCCATGAATGTTGAGGTGTCCATGCTCCTTGTCCATGACTTTGTTTCATAGTGCATTGCAAATCTTAAATTACTCACATGCTTACAATCTTATGTATTTAGGGGGCGTTCAAAGTGTCCATGTTGAGTCCTGGAATCATATATGAGCCATATGCACCTCGTGAACAGATCTCATTTTGGAAGAGGTTAGTCATTTGAGTGGCTGATTGGTTGCTCATAATTTTACTGATCAACCATTTTCCTAGATTACGGTAATGGAGCATGTTACTTCTTTATTAATTCTTTGTAGATCAAATAATGATTATTTGATCAATATTGCCCTGGGCATTAATTATAGCTCAAAGTCTGAGAATAACCTCAAAAGAAGAATTCTTTATGTGCTAATTGTCCTAGATGGAAAACTTTATATGTCACATAGTTTTACTTCTGAAACTATGTGGTGACTGTCTTCATTTCCAACTGCAGCATGTAGAGCAAGAACAATTTTACTGACAACATAATTTTGTTAATATGTCTATCTTAGAGACTTAGATGCATGGAAAATGGTTGGACTTGTTTTTTAATTAAATATGAGTAAATTTAAATAAAAATAAGGTCACAGTTGAATTAAGTTTATGAATTTAAGGTTCAAACTTGCAATCAGACTTGATCCACGTCAGTATTATGTCTAAGGTTGTAGAAAATCTATCCACCTTTGCTTGGATAATGTAGAGCTTTATTTTATTTATTTAAAAAAGTTTGTTTCCTGTAGAAAATAATGATTTGGAAAATATATGTTCTCTTATGTCTATGAAGTTGAACATAAAAGGGTTGATATTCTTATAACTTTACCTATGTTCACCTGTTGGAATAGTTTAACTTGCTCTTATTATCATTTATCATATGTGTGGCGGTTGTTGGTCATTTGTATGGGACTTGACTTTACAGACTTTCATATATGTTTTTATATATCCTTGAGCTCATCAATTTATGCTATGAGGGGTGAAAGCAAGTGCAATTAGTCTCTTCACAATCAAAAATATGCTACCATTTTATTTTCTTCTTTGGGGGTTGGGTGGGGGAATGCTGCTTAATAACACTTATGGAGTAAGAATGAAATGAAGCTGCATGTTCTTAGCTCCTTGTGTTATTAATGGGTAATGCTCATATTTTTCTTTTCTCTTCCTTTTCCTTTTTCTTTTTTATCCAAGCTAAATTCAGTGACATAATTTTCTTGCTGACGGATTGAGCTTAGTTGTGCAACAAAATTTTCATGCTGACTAATTAGATTAGTTGTTCAATTCTCCCCTCCCAAAAAAAAAAAACACAATAAAAAATTTCTGCTCTTAATTACCTTATTCTGTGTCAGATGGTTCACTCGAAGAGGTTGGAAAAGAACAAAAGAGGATATCATTCTAGAGGTAATGTTCTTTCATGCTATAATAGTCATTCCGTTGACCCTCTCAGGCTTTCCATTTGATATCTTGCAATACATGTAGTATGAGAGACTTGAGACTGAAAACACAACCTATATAGTTTGATTTTAGTTTGTCACTCAAATTTCCATGCCCTCATCCCAATTTTATCTATTTAGACCAAAAAGAACTAGAAAAGACTGACAAAATCCATATGCTGGGTGTGATTCATATGTATAACTACTGTGCGGATATGATTCTTATTCTGTACGCCTCGGCTTGGCAGATACCCAGGTATTTATTATACTTTGAAGTAGTTACCCTCCTCCCCATTTGGGTTCCACCATAGCAAGTGTTCATTGCTTTATTGAATTCTGTGATGAATTGGGCTGCTGAAAATCGATTTGCTGATGTGCAGCTCAAGAGTGCATATGCCATTGCTAAATTGCGGAAGTCTGGGTATTCAAAGCACAAGTTTTATGAGGAAGCCATAGATTTATACAAAGAGGTGTATTTTTATGAGCTTGAGTGTTAATATTCAGTAGCTGTTTTGCGTTTTATCCTCGTTGTCAAATTAGATTTCTGGCTGTTGCTAGTTTGCCAAGGGAAATTTCTCATTTTTCAACCAAAGAAGCCAAAAAGGTGCCTTTTTAAAAATTATATATGCTTGTGACGTGGCATCACCGGTTTGTGTCATGGTCACGGAAATAGCCTTTCCGCATGTCGGGTAGAAGCTATGTACATTTGATTCTCCCCAAACCGGCGGAGGTCTCGTGCATTGGGCTGCCTTTTTTATGAGAGAATACATCTAGTTATATCTTTTTTCAAAATTGAGTGCAGTTTTGCAGAGATGCTATATTTCTTGTTTTGTGTTCTGCATGTTTTATGAGAAAAACCTTATTCCTCACCCTAAATTTGAAGAACATTGCATTAATCCATTCAAATAAATGGATTACATGTTTTGTTGAGATTTCATGTTTCTTTATCTAGCAGAAATGGCGCTTGTAAAAGGATTGTAAAACTATTCGCCTGGGATTTACGTCCACCAAAACTTCAAATTTAAGGACATATGGATAGGTGTCATGGGGTAACATTTCGTTTTTCTTTCGAGGCTATCTGTGAAGGTGTTGCCACTGTAACCAACCACACACAATCTCAAGAACAGGAACAGAAACTCACACACAAAGGCACAAACGAATTTACTGGGACAACACTCCTAAACCTTATATATTGAACTGAATACAATTTACAAAGAAACTCAGCAAGAACACTCTCCTTCTACTAGAATGCCCAAGCACCCCTATTTATACAAGTAGTATGACAGATGACACACCCATCTGCCAAAGGGTAGTTATCCATATTCTGCTATTCCATAGCAAACTTGGTCAGCTGGCTTGATCTCTGTGCGACACCTGACAGGCAGTTCCACCCATTCAGTAACTGATGTAGAACTGCCCCTCATTAACATGCATTTGGACCAGAATAAGGCTAAGAGCGCCAAGAACTGCTTCTCACATACTAAGCCTTGTTCAGCAACTGTCTTGACCGAGTCTCAGCATCTGCAACTGCCCATATCCTCCTGGTCACATGCATTGAGCAGCCATGTGCCAGTCATGTGCCCACATTCAGTAGCCAGTCTTGCCTCACGAACCATTTTGCATGCTGAGTTCAACCCATGCCATGCAATTCGAAGCTATGCACCCACATTGCTTCAATTGAGCCTACAACGTACTGCCAAGCTCAGCCGGGTGGTCTCATGCAGCCACAGTCCACATCAATTTGTCGAACCGCTTAGTCGCATCACCTTGATTCAATCTCATGGCGTGCCTTGGTACAAGGTGCCACAAAGACTGTCATTATGCACCCAAGTTAGTTAGGGTGTGACAAGCCACCCCCACCTGAAGTATCCAACGACCTCGTTGGAATGGAGGCATGGTACTGCTTGATGAGATCCTCGAATTGCTACATTGTTGTCTCTTTCTCCCAAGTGGCTTCCTCCGGTACTTTCCTTTTCCACTTGACTAGGTAATGAGTTCTTCTGTTTTTCTTACTCATTCCCTCGGTCTTGTAGTCAAGAATAACTTCTGCTATCTCTGTGAATTGCTTCCTGATTGTTGGAGGAGCCCGACACCGAACATATCTACTAGGGTCCTCTGGGTCCTCAATGTATGGCTTCAAGAAGGCAACATGGAAAAACTAGATGAAGCTTGAGATGACTGGGAAGATCCAGCCTATAAGCCAACCTGCCAATCCTTCTTGTGATAAGGAAAGGGCCGTTATAACTCTGGATCAGTCCTTTATGTGCAGACTTCCAAGTGATCTTCTTCTAAATTGGTGGGGTCAGTTTCAGCATCATTTTGTCACCCACTTCGAACTCTACTGCCCTCCTTTTTCTCATCTGCCCACTTGTTCAGTCTCTTTACCGCCTTAGTCAAGCAGTCCTTTGCCTCATCGGTCCTCTCCTAATTGGCCCGAATGAAGCGGTATGTTGCAGGACATCTCTCTTGAGATTTCTACTTGGCAACTTCATGCGGCGTAAGAGGCTGTTGGCCAGTTGCCAACTCGAATGGGCTCATCCCAGTGGAAGAGCTTTGCTGCAAATTGTAGCTAAATTGGGCAACATCAAGTAAATCCACCAAATTCTCTTGATTTGCTGTGACATAGTGTCTGAGATATTCTTCCAGCATTGCATTTGCCCGCTTAGTCTGACCATCTGTTTGCGGATGATTGCTGGTGGAAAGGTTAAGCTGTGTGCCCAACAACTCGAACAAGACCGTCCAAAATCTGCCGGTGAAACATGTCTCTGTTGCTGACTATATCGAGCGGAAGGCCTCAAAGTTTCATTATATGCTTGAGGAATAGTCGAGTAGTAACTTCAGCAGAGCATACTTTTGGAACAACAATGAAGGTGGCATACTTCGAAAATCTGTCTACAACCACAAATATTGAAGTAAAGTCATTCACCTTGGGCAAACCATTGATGAAATCCATGGAAACACTCTCCTAAGGTCTGCTTGGAATAGGAAGAGGTTCTAAGGTACCCGCCATCTTCCTCCTTTCTGTTTTGTCCTGTTGGCACACCAGACAAGTGCGCACATAAAGCTCAACATCAGCTTCCATACGAGGCCAATAATAACTTTCCACAACTAAGGCAAGGGTCCGTTCTTGCCCCGGATGCCCTGACCATCGAGCATCATGAATTTCTTTCAGCAACATTTGTCGAAGTCTGCCAGCCTTCGGAATATAGGGTCTCCTTCCTTTGGCGTAAAGTACACCATCCTCTACCTAAAACCGCCGAGTCACCCCTTCATGGATTGCTTCAACAGCAAGTTGGTCACGGGATCATCTTTTGTCTAGTCTTGAATTCTTTGTAGTATGTCTCCAATAATCTTGGCTAAGTGCATCCATCTCCTCATCAGCAACTGGGATCCAACTAAGGGCATCAACAACCTGATTTACACTGCTAGGCTTGTACTGCAACGTGAAATGGAACTGAGCAAGAAAGTCCTGCCATTTTGCCTGTTTTGGTGTCAGCTTCTTCATGTAATTGAAGTAGCTGGTAGCCACATTGTCTGTCAGCACAAGGAAATGCTTCCCCAATAGGTAATGCCTCCATGCACTGATACAGTGAATGACTGCTGTCATCTCTTTCTCGTGTACTGAATATCGCCTCTCGATATCGTTCAACTTCCTGCTTTCAAACGTCACCAGATGCCCATTCTGCACCAGCACCCCTCTAAGAGCAAAGTTTGATGCATCTGTATGGACTTCAAAAGGCAAATCAAAGTCAGGCAACTGTAAAATTGGGCTAGTCATCAACCATCACCTTTGATCGATTGAATGCCTCCTGACATTCGTAGGACCAGTTTCATGTCCTATCCTTCCTCAGATGATCTGTCAACACAACCACCTTCTTTGAATAATTTTTCACGAACTTTCGATAATAATTCACCAAACCAAGGAAAGATCTCAATTCTGTAACCTTAATAGGGACAGGCCAATCAGCAGTGGCCTCAACTTTCTTTGGGTCTATCTTCACGACACCCGCAAAAATAATATGCACGAGTAATGAGATTTTCTTTTGGACAAACTCACATTTTTCTGGTTTCAGATACAGTTGTGCTTCCCTCAACTTTGTCAAAGCCAATCTAAGGTGGTTAACATGCTCCTCAAGAGTCTGGCTATAAACAATTATATCATCCAGATAAATAACCATAAAGTTGTTCAAGTATTTCCGGAATATATTGGTCATCAAGTTACAGAATGTAGCTGGGGCATTAGTTAAGCTGAAAGGCATGACTAAGAACTCATATGAACCGTACCTCGTCACACAAGCGGTCTTTGCCTCATATCCTTCTACAATTCTGACTTGATGATATCCCAACCGCAAGTCCATCTTGGTAAAAAAAACTGCCTTCCCAGTCTATCAACAAACAATTCATCAACAAGCGGCATTTCATAGTTGTTCTTGACAACAACTTTGTTGAGGGCTCTGTAATCTACACAAAGCCGTAAAGATCCATCCTTCTTTTTCTGAACAAGAACAGAAGCTCTATAAGGGGCTTTGGAAGGTCTAATGAACCCAATGTCCAATAGACCACCAAGCTGTCTCCTTAGCTCCATCAACTCTGATGGAGACATTCGATAAGGAGCCTGAGCAGGAATTTTTCCCCCTGGAATCAACTTGATGGCATCGTCAATTTCTTGCCTTGGTGCTAATCTTGTTAGCAATTCTTTGGGTGCCACGTCCTTGAATTTAGCCAGCAACTGTTGCATTAGTTTAGGGACTTGCAATATTTTGGACTCTTCTTCCTCAAACAGAACAACCAAGTATGTTGCTTCTCCTCTCTGCAAGCCATCTTTTACTTGCAAGACAGACAACACTTCTCCTGAAACTTGGCCTTGGTGAGGAGAACAAAACAAGGACTTGACATGTCTATCACGAACATCCCTTGCAGATGAGGCATAACAGACACCTTTGCTTTTGTAAGAAATTCCAGTCCAAGGATTACCTAGAAATCATCGAGAAGGACTGCCATAAAGTCGCATGGTCCTTGCCAATCACCGACTCTTAAAGGGACTTCTCTAGCAACGCTGCCTACTGGTTTTGCTTCTGAATTAACGGCCTTGATCTGGCTAGAGTCTTTCACCAAACCCAAACCAAGCCGCTGCACTTTGCGGTCAGAAACAAAATTGTGGGTTGCACCTATATCAACTATTGCCTGGATAGCCACATTGTTCAAACAGATCTGCACGAACATCAGCCCATTCCTTGCCACCGTCTCCTCTTTGCAAATTGCATTAAGGAGCTGCAATGGGTTGACTCGTGTTGGCTCATCTGAACAGTCAATATCCTCAGCCATGAGGGCACTGAGTTTCTCCTTCTTGGGGCAATGAGGGCCATTACAAATAAAACAGCTTGAGTCAGCCCTCCTTTTGACGAAGAGGGCTTGTTAGCCTATTTTTCTGTGTTACCAAACTTATCAGCCTTTTTCTTCTGCTTGTCCTTCTTGGAAAACTTGGCCTTCCTTTTTG